TCTCTCTCTCTCTCTCTCTCTCTCTCTCTCTCTCTCTCTCTCTCTCTCTCTCTCTCTCTCTCTCATGGAATGACCGTGACCTTGTGTAATGAACCCTGTGATTTACAGATTCCATAATGAAACTTCTGATTCACACTATTCTGTTCACCACCTCCCCTCCCCACCCCCCGCTGTTCAAGGTCTGGCGCACAGACTTTTTGTATCCCTCTCCCCGTCTCTGCTTCTCTCATGTAGCGGCGCAATGAACTCGAGGTCGAAATCGTCATCCGTTATTGTTGTGTTGTGTGGCCCACTCCTGTGGACAGAGGGCACGCCAACTCGAAATAGCGCAGCAGCCTTCTCAGCAACAGATACGGCACGGTCCATCTTGAAGATCGAAAAACTCATGACTGTATCGCGGCTACGGACAGATGATGTGATGTCCTGCTTTATAGAGACCAATTTTCCTATCTGCTCTGCCGCTCTGGTGGTTTTTGTTGTCTGCTCAATTTCACATTGCAGAACCATCTCTGCAAAAGTCAGTTGCTGCAAGGTCACGCCCAGGTTTACGCCGTCCTTCCTCATCTGGAAAACCTTGGTGAGTGCCGTCTTGAAGGCTGGGGCGCCTCAAGGATCGTTGCCGCATCGTCTCCACGTTTTGTTCTCCTTCATCTCTGCTCGCATCTTGTTGCGAGTAGGGAGCTGGTGATCTGTTTGCTGCAATCGTACAAGCGGGATCCTTTTTTCAGCCCAGAACCAATGTTTTGGTTGCCATGTTATCTTTCCATGCACGGTTGTCATCATTCTGTTGCACTCCCCTATGACTGCTCGAATCCCGCACTCCGCTATGTGTGATCGCAGTCCTTCCTCCGCGTTCTCGCCTATCAGTTTGGCCGCTGTTTGCAGCGCCGTGAAAAATTCATCCTCTGTTGGGTATAGAGTTGCGTCCTTTGCTGCTGAGAACGCAAAGGTTTTTGCGACCGCCCGGAACAGTCTGTCCTTCATTTTCTTCGAGAATACGCCGCTTTCTTGACTGCCTTGTTGCTGTCCTCCCCTGCTCGCGCACACTTTTCTTTGCGAGTTCGTGCCATCTGCTGGAAGACACACATTACAACGCACATAATAATATTAAGAACTCCGCGTTTCGCACCCATTTTCGCACCTGCCAAATTCGACAGCCCGTTTCAACTGTAAGTTCATCACAGCGACATCCTCGCAGTAAGGAAATGTCATCACTTTGCGCCGTCACCACGTAATCGTTGTGCAAGAGGAGCAACTTCAGCACATTTTGTTTACCTTTTTTAACTGCGTTGTCGTGCCTCACTAGTTGTCTGTCAATGGAGGGCGCGTCGGCTGCGCCTCCCTCGCCGCCACTTTCGGGTTCCCTCGTGCGTTGCGTTCTTCCCGAAGATGGGGAACTCCCTCTCCCGTACGAGCTTCTGTCGTCTTCGCCTGACCCGTCACCGCCCTCGTCCTGCGCTGTGCCGTCGCTGCTCCTGCCGTCCTCGTCATCAACGTCGTGAGTGTCGCGAGATTGTCCGTCGGAAGTTTGACTGTCACCTCCCTCGTCACTTGTCGCCTCGTTCTCCTCCCCGTCATACTTTTCTGATATGGACTGATCGTGTTTCTCTTCTACTTCCCCTGGGGTCGCGCTGTGCATATCGTCCGAGGCTCTCAGATCGATCATGTCCACCATTCTGTCCTTTTTGTACATGATTCTCTTCTTTGTCTTGTGGTGCACCTTTGACATTCTGTCTTCCCGCGACCTCTTTTCGGGGGCCTTGGGTGGACGGTTCTCGACGCCGCTGACACGGTTCCGTGGGGTAGGAGTCGCAGGGGGTGACTCATTGCGTTCTTTCAACTTTGAAATCCCCCTCTGACTTGATGGGAGAGAAACTTTTGATCTGTTTCTGCGGCTGCTGGTCCGCTCCGTTTTTGCATTCCGGGATCCGCTTCTGCGACGCTCTCTCCTTTCTTTTTTTTTATCAGCCTTGCATTTCTTCTTCCCCTTATCCTTCTTTCCCACGGCCTTCAAAGACCTGCACAGATCCTCGTATTTTGACTTTGGAGCCATGACCCTTTTTTTCCCACATACATCAAAGTGGAATACGAACAACAACTGCGTCAGCAATATCGTTTGTCGATCTATACACCCCTGAAGTGTAATGGCCGCATTGAGAGAGAGAGAGAGAGAGAGAGAGAGAGAGAGAGAGAGAGAGAGAGAGAGAGAGAGAGAGAGAGA